CCAGCTTCAGCTCAGGTCATGATCTCACGGTTCACAAGTTCAAGCCCTGCATCGGGCTCTGTGCTTACAGCTCAGAGCCTGGAGCCTGCTTTGGATTTTTAAAGTATGCTAATGGTGAAAAGAAAACCTGTACTGACTGATGTTAGATAAGGTAGACTATAGAGCAAAAAATACTGCTCTAAAGATTTAAGGGATAAGGGTAAGAAATAGGTTATTTTATAATGGTATAATGTCAGTTCATCAAGAGGATATAATAGATGTAAACATTTATGCACTTAATAATATTTGAAATACATGAGGCAAAAACAGATAGAATTTTAAGGAGAAATAGATAAGTACACTTACAGTTGGAGATTCCAGGATACTTTTATCAATAATTGATAGAGCAAATAGATAGAAAAGTGCTAAAACTTATCAATCACCTTGACCAGCTGACATTTATAGAACACTCCACCCAGCAGAATACATATTCTTTTCTAAGTGAACACAGAACACATCCTGAGATCATATTCTAGGGAGATTTTTAAAACCTAACAATTCAGAAGAATTTAAATCACATGAAGTATATTTGTGCCCACAATATAATTAAATTAAAAATCAGTAACAGAGAAATTTCTGGAAATATTTCAAAAGTAAAATAAGAACAAAAAAAACCCACTTCTAAATAAAGAACTCAAAAGATATTTAGGAAGTATATTAAACAGAATGAAAATTCAAAGCATCAGTATCTGTATGATGCTGCTAAGATAATACTTAGAGGAAAATTTATGCCACTAAACACCCATATGAGAAAAGAAAAAGATTTCAAATCAACGACTTAAGCAAAGCTGTTTTATTAAACTAGAAGGGAAGAGTGAGTGAGATCCAAAGTAGTAGAAGAAAAGAAGTAACAAAAATTAAAGTGGAGATCAATAAAATAGAAAAATCAGTGAAACCACAAGCTGACTTATTGAGAATATCAATTAAATGAATAAACCTCTAGGCAGACATAATGGTGAGTAGGGTGGGGAGAGAAGACACAAATTACCAACATTGAGAAAGAAAGAGGTGGCATTTAAAAACAATTTTTTTTAATGTTTACTTACTCAGAGAGCAAGTAGGGGGGAAGGGCAGAGAGAGAGAATCCCAAGTAGGTTCTGCACTGTCTGTGCAGAGCTGGATGCAGGGCTCGATCCCATGAACCATGAGATCATGACCTGGGTTGAGACCAAGAGATGCTCAGCCGACTGAGTTACCCAGGAGCCCTAAGAGGTGGCATTTTTACAGATACTAAAAATGATAGGTAACAAATTCAACATGTTATATAAAGTGGGTAAATTTCTTGAAAAACACAAATTTTCAAAATTCATTCAAGAAGAAATGGGTAACCTAAAAACACTATCTCTTAGGAAAATTTAGTTTGTAGTTATTAACTGTCCACAAAGAAAATGTCAGACCCAGATGGCTCCATTGGTGAATTCTACCAAACATTAGGAAGAAATGTCAACATTTCTACATAATCTTCCAGAAAATTGAATGAGAAGGAATACTTCCCAACTTATTTTATGAGACCAGCGTTACTCCGATGCCCCAACCAAAGATATCACAAAAAAGAAAGCGACATACCAATGTTTCTCATTAACATAGATGGAAAATCTTAGCAAGATTTTAGCAATTAGAATCTCACAGTATATGAAAAGCGTAATAGTACATACTGTCCAGGTGGATATCATTTCAGGAATGCAGGGTTGGTGCAACGTTTGGGAATCAGTCCATGTAATTTATTATATTAACAAAATAAGAAAGATAAAACATGCTCATCTCAGTAGTTACAGAAGAAGCATTTGACAGAATATAATATTTGTTTCTGATAAAAACATTCATCAAACTTGGAATAGAAGGAAATGCCCTTAACCTGATAAAAAGAGCATCTTTGAAAAAACTTACACTAGTGTCAAACTTAATTGTGAAAAAAAAAGAATGTTTTTCCTTTAAGACCAACAGTGTACTAGAGGTTGTAGCCAGTGGGGTAAGATAAGAAAAAGAGATGAAAGGATGTCAGAATGAGAAAGAAGTAAACCTTTATTCACCAAAAACATGATTGAATTTTAATATGAAATCCTGTAATAGCTACAAAGCTGTCACTGGAACTAAAAAGTAGACATTGTAAAGTTCCAGGTATAAGCTCTATATCAGGGTTTCTCTGTGCTGTCAATGAACAGTTGAAAACCAAATTTAAAAAGCTGTACCATTTGTGGGGTACCTGGCTGGCTCAGTCACTAGAACATGTGACTCTTGATCTTGGGGTCACAAGTTTGAGCCCCATGTTGGGGATAGAGTTTACTTTAAAAAAAAAAATGTGACCTCTGACTAAGTGCTTTTACATAAAGGTGCCTTGGCAGGAGAGAAAGAGTATTTTTCACTGGTAAAACATACTATCACAGTTAACCAGAAAACCTTTTCAAAGTTCAGTAAGTGCTAGTATCTTGCATTATAAGAACACTCCTTCACTAACTGGCTTTGCCATTAAAGCCACCAATGCCTGGAGTTATATAATAAATAAATAAAAAGTTGTACTATTGCAATTGCAACAGAAATTTTTAAATACTGAGGCAGAAATCTGACAGAAGCAGTGACATCTATACACTGGTAACTGAAATATTGCTGAGAGAAGTTAAAGAAGTCCTAAATGAATGGAGAGATTTGCTGTTTTTCATCAATTAAAAGATTCAATATTGTTAAGAAATCAGTTCTCCCTGAATTGATCTGTAGATTCAGTGCAATTCCAATCAAAATCTGAGGAGGATTTTCTGTAGAAATTATCAGGCTCGTCCTAAAATTTGCACACGGGAATGCCTAGGTGGCTCAGATGGTTAAGCCTCTGGCTCTTGATTTTGTCTCCGGTCATGATGCCATGGTTTTGAGATCAGGCTCTGTGTCAGGCTCTGGCTGATAGCTGGGAACCTGCTTGGGATTCTCTCTCTCCCTTTCTGTCTGCCCCTACCCCACTCACACGCATGTGCACTGTGCTCTCTCTCAAAAATAAAAAATAAATAGGGGCGCCTGGGTGGCTCGGTTGGTTGAGTGTCCCACTTGACTTAGGGCGTGATCTCACAGTTGGTGAGTTTGAGCCCCACATCGGGCTCTATGCTGTCAGCACGGAGCCCACTCCAGATCCTCTGTCTCCCTCTATCTCTGCATCTCCCCTGCTTGCTCTCTCTCTCTCTCAAAAATAAAATAAAACATTTTTTAAAAATGATTATTCCATTATTTTTGAGAGAGAGACAGAGTGCAAGCATGGGGGAGGGGTAGAGGGAGAGGAAGACAGAATTTAGAGCAGGCTCCAGGCTCCGAGCTGTCAACACAGAACCTGATGTGGGGCTCAAACTCACAGACTGAGTTCATGACCTGAGCCGAAGTTGGACGCTCAACCGACTGAGCCACCCAGGCGCCCCTAAAATAAAACATTTTAAAAAATTTTTAGGGTGCCTGGGTGGCTCAGTCGGTTAAGCGTCTGACTTCAGCTCAGGTCATGATCTCACGGTCTGTGGGTTCGAGCCCCGCGTCGGGCTCTGTGCTGACAGCTCGGAGCCTGGAGCCTGCTTCGGATTCTGTGTCTCCCTCTCTCTCTGCCCCTCCCCTGCTCATGCTCTGTCTCTCTCTGTCTCAAAAATAAATAAAAACATTAAAAACATTTAAAAAAAATTTTTTTAAATAGACATTTAAAAACTTAAGTAAAATTTGCATGGAATTGCAAAGGACCTAGAATAGCCAAACAACTTTGAAAAAGGAAAAAGTGGCAAGGCTTATACTATGTAGTTTCAAGTGTTTATTTTTACACTACAGTAGTCAAGGCAGGCTGGTATTGGCATAAAGGTAAAGAGATCATTGCAACAGAGTTGCGCATCTAGAAATAGACTCAGGCATATTTGGATAGTTGATTTTCCACAGTGGTTCAGAATGGCATTGGCCTTCTAAATAGCAACGCTGGAAATTAGAAGAAATTCCACGGGGGGGGGGGGACATTTTCAACCTAAATATATATAGTCAAAAATTATCAAGGGGTAAACTAAGAAGAAGGAAACAGAATAATCCAGAAAATAGATTCTAGCACAGGGTAAAAGTTTAGGAATGTCCTAGGACAATAGCTAGGCCAGAAGCCTAGGCATAAACTGCAGATTAAAGCAGGATATGAGAGCAAGGCAGGTGGGAGGTGGGGGGGGTGGCAGGGGTAGGGAAGAACAGATGTGTTTAAATTATAGAGAATATTTTTTTTAACATTTTTTCATTTTTGAGAGAGCATGAGTGGGGGAGGGGCAGAGAGAAAGGGAGACACAGAATCCAACGCAGGTTCCAGGCTCCGGGCTGTCAGCACAGAGGCTGACACGAGGCTTGAACCACGAACCATGAAATCATGACATGAGCCAAAGTCTGACACTTAACCACCTGAGCCACCCAAGCGCCCTAAATTACAGAGAATATTACTGATGTGTGTCAGAAATGTAGCAAAAATAATTGGTACAACCACAGAAACACTGGAAAGTGTTAAGATGTAACAGTTATTAACCTTATAAAAAGGAAGGGTTAGTGTTGCACAAGAGACATGCGCATAGACTCTTTCTCTATACCATCATAATAATATTAAGTTCTTTTGGGATGAAGATAGCCTGATGGAAATAGACATTGTTTTCTAGTTTGCTCAGTGAACTGAAGTGTAGGCTTTTATGAGAACCAGTGTTCTAAAGGGCTGTGTCTTCTGCCCTGTGCTCTTTTATTCAGGCCCAGTGCTGGGTCAGTCTTTGTACCTCTTTAATTAGGCCATTGTCTGGTTGTCCCCACCTCTGCTTGATGACAGAATAGGTTACTTTACTTCTTTTATCAGTTTTCTATCAGCCAGTGTCTTTAGGGGAAGTCTCTTCTAGAATAACTTTGTTCCTAATCTGGTTTGGGGGAAAACCTGATTATGAGTACCTTTATTAATCTTGTTTAAATAGACTGATTCTTTTTTTAATGCCCTCTAGGAAGTAAGAAGAAAGAAAAGGAACGGCCAGAAATTTCTCCTCCATCTGATTTTGAGCACACCATTCATGTTGGCTTTGATGCAGTTACTGGAGAATTCACTGTAAGTTTACCAGATTGGGACTCGTTTATGTTCCTGCACTTAAGCCTTTCCTTGCATCATTTATGTTTCAAGTTAACTTTTCTGTCCACATGTTAACTGTGAACTTTTAGTGCTTTTCTCTTATGAAAGTGTTTGTGGTTGGATGTATCTTTCTTCTAGGGAGCTGAGCTCATTAGTTAAAATTATGCAAAATAGATTTAGAAAAATTGACCTTTAGAAAAACAAGACCTACAATTTAGTCAGGCCTGCAGTTATGTAGATTGACTTGTTTTTTATGTATCTTGTCATTTTCCTCTGGAAGTTGATTTTATTAGAGCAACTCAAAACCACTTATTTCTTAATATCTTTTTTGTTAGGGCATGCCAGAACAGTGGGCTCGATTATTACAGACCTCCAATATCACCAAACTAGAGCAAAAGAAGAATCCTCAGGCCGTGCTGGATGTCTTAAAGTTCTATGACTCCAACACGGTGAAGCAGAAATATCTGAGCTTTACTCCTCCTGGTAAGATGTCCAGCAATGGTAAAAGGCTGATTCAAATGGGATTGCAGAATTTTGAAGCACACCTAGATAAAAAGATTGCTTCTGGAAAAATAAAAACCTAAGCTATGGTTCTTGTCTCTACTTTTTCCCCTGCTCTAGAACTGCCTTTTGTAAACTGATTGGAGCAGCTCTCATGCATAATTTGGAGTCTGGGGAGTATGCTATTCTCTTAGTTTTGACAAAAGTGGATGTTTTGGCCTATTGCTTGTTTTTCCTTGTCACTGCTTTTGAATGACTCCCAGCAATAGAAGAGAAAGATGCTGATTTATAGGCATGTTCATACTAGAAATATATTTATTGTCAGTGGGACAGGAGGAGGGTTGTTTTCCTATATTAAACACACAGACTATGAAGTAAAAAAATGTTTAAGTCATTCAAAAATTTGAAATTGGTTCAAAAATATATGAATATAAAATAAGCATTAGAACTTAAAGATTTTATACCTTGGAATTAAAATCATTTGGTAAGAATTGGCGTATAGTGGATTTTTAAAAATAGTTTATTTGTTCAAATCAGGATCAGAATAAAGTCCATACATCACTGTATCTTTTGAATCTCTTTCGATATTTAGGCTTCTTCACACTTATTCTTAGATTCTCTTTTCCTTGCATTTTATTTGTTGAAGAAACAGGATCATGGGTCCTATTTCCTCCAATGGATTTTGCTAATTACATCCCCAGGGAGTCATTTAATATGTTTCTCTGACCCCTAAAGTCATACATGTACTTTTTAAAATTTTTTTAATTTAAAAAAAATTTTTTTAATGTTTTATTTATTTTTGAGAGAGACAGACAGAATGCAAATGGGGGAGGGGCCAAGAGAGAGGGAGACACAGAATCTGAAGCCCAGAGTCCAGGCTCTGAGCTGTCATCTCAGCACAGAGCCCGACGCAGCGCTTAAACTCACAAACCGAGAGATTATGACCTGAGACAAAGTCAGACGCTTAGCTGACTGAGCCACCCAGGCACCTCCATACATGTACTTTTTAAAAACATGATTGAGCTAAAATTCACCCATGTAGTTTTAATTAATTGTACTTAATTTGATTGCATTTTTACAGAAATAAGGGCTATGCTCAAGGAAGAAATAGAGACCACTTGGCCAAATGATCTTGACTTTTTTACCTAGATCTCGACCTTTTTATCCTTAGCAAAAGGTCAGACTTGTCCCTGGAACTTTTGTGTCAGCTAGTAAGTCTGTGTAAATTAGTATTTTTTTAAATCAGTGTTTGACCAGAAAATGGTATATTCTTTTCACCCTATATATATCTTTAATATATATGTTAAAGTCACATTAAATATATACCTTTAATATAATCACATTTATAAGTTACACTTATTTATATAATATATAAGTATGTTTTGTATATTATGTTAATTTATAATGGTAATATATTAATATATGTTAAATAACATGTTAATATATGCATAATGTGCTCACATATTATTATATATTATTACATATGCATATGTATAAAAAATGTAAATTTCCCTGGGCCTTTTGAAAAGTAAAACAAAACAAAACTTGCTTTTCTAAACTCCAGAATGAATATTTTGACATTTAATGTTTTTTTTTTTTAATTTTTTTTTTTTTAACGTTTATTTATTTTTTTGGGACGGAGAGAGACAGAGCATGAACGGGGGAGGGGCAGAGAGAGAGGGAGACACAGAATCAGAAACAGGCTCCAGGCTCTGAGCCATCAGCCCAGAGCCCGACGCAGGGCTCGAACTCATGGACCGCGAGATCATGACCTGGCTGAAGTCGGACGCTTAACCGACTGCGCCACCCAGGCGCCCCTTGACATTTAATGTTAATGAACTGTGTTTTGCCTTCAGGAATATGCTTTCTCATTTTAAAAAAAATTTTTTTTTAATGTTTATTTATATTTGAGAGAGAGAGAGAGAGAAAGAAACCATGCATGAGCGGGGGAGAGGCAGAGAGAGATGGAGACAGAATCAGCAGCAGTTTCCAGGCTCTGAGCTGTTAGCACAGATCAACACATGAGCCGTGAGATCATGACCTGAGCTGAAGTCAGAGGTTTAACCAACTAAGCCACCCAGGCGCCCCAAAGGAAAATTCTTGACATAAATTTTGATCAAAAAGAAAGCATATTCCTGGGGCACCTGGGTGGCTCAGTCAGTTAAGCGTCTAACTTCCGCTCAGGTCATGATCTTGGAGCTGGTGAGTTCAAGCCCCCGAGTGGGGCTCTGTGCTAACAGCTCAGAGCCTGAAGCCTGCTTTGAATCTTTGTCTCCCTGCCTTTCTGCCCCTCCCCTGCTCATTCTGTCTCTCTCCCTCTGTCTCAAAAATAAATAAACATTAAAAAAAGAATTTTCCTTGGGGTGCCTGGGTGGCTCACTTGGTTGAGCCTCCAACTTCCGCTCAGATCCTGATCTCGTGGTTTGTGGGTTCGAGCCCCGTGTTGGCTCTGTGCTTGCAGCTCAGAGCCTGGAGCAGTTTCAGATTCTGTGTCTCTGTCCCACTCTGCCCCTCCCCCACTCGTGCTCTGTCTCTCTCTCTCTCTCTCTCTCTCTCTCTCTCTCAAGAATAGTAAAAAAAAATTAAAAAAAAAATTTCCCTTTGTACAACTGCCATTGTCTGAATAGTAGCTTTAAGTTTCTGATAGTTTACTGAGGAAAGTATTGCTATGAATAAATTTGTTTTATTTTAATTACACTTTGACAAGTTTAGTTTCAGATATGTTTTTAATAACTTTATTAAAATCATAGTTCACATGCTATAAAATTCACCCATTTGAAGTATATACATCAGTAATTTTTAGTAAATTTGCAGTTCCATTAAGATTTGAGATTTTTTTAGCACAATCTTGTGTAAATTCTTATTTGAATATTGATACTGTCATTTTTCTGAAGACTTAATTCAACTTGAAATCAGTCTAAGAACATTTTACTTGCTCTGCTTTGTATTTTCTTCCTTTATTATATAGAAGTTGTTTTATTTTTTGAGTTTGTTGACTTAGCATTATTTTCTGTTCCACATTCAGAGAAAGATGGCTTCCCTTCTGGAACACCAGGAGTAAGTTAATACGTTACTTCTTGTAACTCTTTTTCTAACTTAAGTTACCAAAAACAAATCTCAGTTTTTATTTTGCTTTCTAAAATAAATTACAGCCACCAAAAAAAAAAGAACTACTTAACATGTCTTATTTATTTATTTATTTATTTATTTATTTATTTATTTATTTATTTTAAATATGTTTTAAGCTAGATGCTTGATTAAGCAAATAAGGAAGCCATATTAAGTAAATAGAATTTCCTCAATTGGGAAGAAACAGTCTCCTAGAGTTGTGAAGACTAAATAAGTTAATATGTAAAGTACCTACTTAGCACATATCTGGCATATAATAATAAACTCTGTATAAAGGTTATCATCTTCCTTTATTTGATTAGCCACCATTTTTTATGGTGATAATCTGGCTGTTTAAAATGACCAAAAATGACTCTGACTTATGTAAAGCCTATAGGATCTTTGTTTTTGGTCTTAACAAATAAAGTGATTATTTCCTTTTAGGACTTGTTTAAAGGGTGTAAAATTCTTCATATAAAAGGTATAAATTTTCTTTTAAGAAAACTTGATATTTACTGTAAACATTTATTTCATAAACTCAATTTCTGTAAGTTACAGAATTGCCTTTACTCTTTAAGTGATTATATTAGAACCAGTGAGGTTTTATCATTTTGAAATGAGGTGTTAAAGAAATACATTTTTTCAAGTATGTTAAAAAGAGAGTCCTATTTTAACATATTGTTGTAGTTGATGTATCTTCCTTACTTTGCTCATGTGATTAATACAGCTGAATACCAAGGGGTCAGAAACATCAGCAGTAGTAACAGAGGAAGATGATGATGATGAAGAGGCTGCCCCTCCTGTTATTGCCCCACGACCGGATCATACAAAATCAGTGCGTGTCTGATTATTAATTGGACTGTGGGTGTCTGGGCATGTGTGTTTAAAAAAAAAAAAAAAGGCAGTCTGTATTTGACTTCCAGTGATGAATTTTCAAAAGCCCTCAGTGTGGGGAAATTTGACTAGGAGATCTTTACCTAAAATCCACTCATCAAAAAACTGATTTTTTATTGAAAACTTAAATTGAGTGACTTCCTTAAAAGTTAAAATACTCATTGTTTTTTCTTTCTATATTACACCTTCTCTTCCAGAGAATTCATCTATTTCCCTTTCTCTGTTTATTTCAATGCAGATAACTACTGTATCTAAAACCTAACTCTTAACTTCTTACCCAAATTGTGTACATCATCTCCCATTTTACATTTCTCTCAAGGTCTTGATGTCATTCAGGAGGCTGCTGTGAGTGAAATTCCCTACCGGATATGGGAGAATTTAATGACCTCAGACAGAGGCAGAAAGAGTCCTTTGCCTCCCCCTGTACTAGCACAAGGGAAAGTGTGGGGAAGGTGCCGTGTTGTGGAACGCTGGCACACTTGGCAGGAAGGACTCTGAGGACTGCCACTGGATCCTGATCTAATGAGAGAGGCCTCTGATTTCTTTGTTGACCTCCTAGAATTGGCTGCTTAAAATGAAATAGTAGAAATCATCTTTGGGTAAAAGTTTTTGTGAGAATTAGTAGTTACTAAGACAAATCTGAAAATATTCTCATTGTTTAGAACAACTGGAGAAAATTAGTTTTGGTTAGAAATCAAAGAATTGAGGGGCACCTGGGTGGCTCAGTCGGCTGAGCAACCGACTGGATTTTGGCTCAGGTTACGATCTTGCATTGGGCTCCATGCTGGAGCCTGCTTAAGGTTCTCTCTCCCCCTGCCCCTCTCCCTTGCTTGCTTGTGAATGCTTTCTCACTCTCTCTAAAATGAAAATAAAATAAAAACAAAAAATGTATCTTAAGTCAAAGAACTGAATAGTGTGCCAGTAAGAATACCTAAAAGTATTTTTCCTCAGATCTCCATTATTGACTCTCTCTGCAGATTTATACACGGTCTGTAATTGACCCTATTCCTGCACCAGTTGGTGATTCTAATGTTGATAGTGGTGCCAAGTCTTCTGACAAACAGAAAAAGAAGACCAAAATGACAGATGAAGAGATTATGGAGAAATTAAGTATGTTACCTACATTTTACATTATTCTTAAATTGCTAATAGTTCTTGAAACATTTGGCTCAGATGGGTTTTAATTTATACCTTATATTTTGGCTTAAGACATAAAAAATAGTTTTCTTCTAGGAACAGTAGCTTTAATTAAAATCTCCTGAAGCCAGTCATACTCTAATTTGCTTGTTTATTATGTGTTGACTATTGAGTAATGTCTTTGCAATGGTCAGTACCTTTGGGAGCAGTACTTTTTCCCAAAGGGCCAAATCTAAGGCTCATGATTAGAGACCTTATTGAAAGAAATTTGTCTATGTTTATGCATACTTCTAGCTTCTCAGTATGAAAATACAAAATGTTCCCAAATAACTAAACAATATGGCATTCCTGTATAGATATATGTGTAAACATTAAATATATTTTTTTTCTCTTCTCCCTTTAAATCCATCAGCTGCCATTGGCCTGAATCAACCATTGGAAATAATGTACACAGTGCCAGGGAGAGGGTAGCAGTAACGTCTGGTCGCAAGTCTACAACAGCTGTAGTTATAAAGAGCACTTTATATAGAGAGGGATCAAGGAAAAATACTACAGCTATAGTAGCTCTAGACCTAAGATTGGGTACCTATATAAAATTGGATTATTTGTGGGGCGCCTGGGTGGCGCAGTCGGTTAAGCGTCCGACTTCAGCCAGGTCACGATCTCGCGGTCCGGGAGTTCGAGCCCCGCGTCAGGCTCTGGGCTGATGGCTCAGAGCCTGGAGCCTGTTTCCGATTCTGTGTCTCCCTCTCTCTCTGCCCCTCCCCTGTTCATGCTCTGTCTCTCTCTGTCCCAAAAATAAATAAAAAATGTTGAAAAAAAAATTTAAAAAAAAAAAAAATTGGATTATTTGTGTGAGTTTCCTTGATATGATCCTATCTCCTTTTACCTTAAGCAAGTGAAGACTTTGTGTGGTTTTCTCATGTTTTGACTTAATGATAGTAAGAATATAAATTAGTTTTATATCCAAATCCTGATTTTAAAACTGTTCATTAGTTGTGACTTTGTGAACCTTCCTAAAACAGATATATGATTAGTTCATACGAAAGTAATCTTTATAGTAATAAGTGGCTTTCTAAATATATTAGAAGGTAGAAGATATATGGGAAGAGTCAGAAAAGCCATTTAGGTTTATTCACTTGGATATCATTTATGTATTATTTCTGATAGTAAGTAGTTTCATAACTTATCATTAGTTTAATACATTTCAGTGTATTAAAGGATACTCATCCTTACCCAAGAATTTTCCAATTAAGACTGAATCTCCCACATCCTGAAAACCTCTTACATTCTTAGGCAGACTAACACAGTTGGTCATTTTAAAGTGTGTTTATTTTTGAGAAAGTGATAGGATAATTAAGACATTGGTTAGGAGGTCCAACCTAATGTAAATAATATGTTCTTGCTTCTGATAAGTTTCATTAGTGTTTTGCTTTTGAAACATACATTATTTTTAAAATTTAGTGTTATGTTTGAAAGCTAATGTTCTAAAATCAGTAGTTTATTAGGAATAATGATGGAATTAGTTTATAAATTTAAAATACTTGACTGAGTTTCCAGTGTTTTGTTTGTTTTTTGTTTAAAATAGGAACTATTGTGAGCATAGGTGACCCTAAGAAAAAATACACAAGATATGAAAAAATTGGGCAAGGGTAAGTATTCATGAATATATTATACAATATTTAATAATTCTTGGGTATACAGTATGATACCTCTTTTTTTTTGCCTGTTGACATTGAACACTTACAGTATTCTGTGAGTGGTATTCTTGTAAGTAGTGCATTTATTTCTACATGCTACTAAAAACTTGTGCCATTTAGCAATAATCTTACATTGCTTTTTCTTGAATGTTATTTCCCATTGGTTGTTAAGAGATTAGATGGGGAAATTGCCCTGCCCATCAAATACATTTAAAAGATAATAAGAACATTTACTACAAGATTATAAGCAATAAAAGCATGTATTTAATCACATCACTGAATATTGGTTTTTGAGTCTGATACCCTGATTTTGTCCAGTAATTTGTCATTTTTACATTTTTTTTAATGTTTATTTTTGAAAGAGAGCATAAGCGGGGGAGGGGCAGAGGGAGAGGAAGACAGAATCCAAAGCAGGCTCCAGGCTCTGAGCTGTCAGCACAGAGCCTGATGCGGGGCTCAAACCCACAAACTGTGAGATCATGACCTGAGCTGAAGGCTGGCGCTTAACTGGCTGAGCCACCCAGCTGCCCCCAGTAAGTTGTATTTTTAAACTATACTTGGGACTCCTCAGTCGGTTGAGCACCGACTTTGGCTCGGTTCATCATGATCTTGCGGTCCGTGGGTTCCAGCCCTGCATCGGGCTGTGTGCTGACAGCTCAGAGCCTTGGAGCTGTTTTGGATTCTGTATCTCCCTCTCTCTCTCTCTGCCCCTCCCCCACTTGCTCACAGTCTCTCTCAAAAATAAATGCCAAAAAAAATTTTGTTTAAACTACACTTTTTTTCTGTTGCTTGGGAGCAAATGACCATCTTAAATTTTTAATTTTTTTTAATGTTTATTTTTTGAGAGAGAGAGTGCGTGTGCATGAGTGGGGGAAGGGCAGAGAGAGAGGGAGACACAAAATCTGAAGCAGGCTCCAGGCTCTGAGCTGTCAGCACAGAGCTCAATATGGGGCTCAAACTCACGGAACTGTGAGGTCATGACCTGAGTGGAAGTCAGATGCTTAACCAACTGAGCTACCCAGGTGCCCCAACCATCTTCAATTTTTAATGTTATTAATCACTGGAAAAGTATTCTGTGAATTTAGAAAGAGAACTTAAGTCTTTTTTGAAACTTACTTATGAATCTGTTTGTATATATGAATTTCTTTTTAAAAGTTAAATTTAAGTGGTGCCTGGGTGGTTCAGTTGGTTGAGTGAGTGACTTGATGTTAACTCGGGTCATGATCTCAGGGTTTGTGGGTTCCAGCCCTTCATGGGGCTCTGCACCGATAGCTGGAAGCCTGCTTGGGATTCTCTCTCTCCTTCTTTCTCTTCCCCTTCCCCTCCCCCACTTGTGTGCACACATTGTCTCTCTCTCTCTCTCTCTCTCTCTCTCTCTCTCTCTCTCTCTGTCTCTCTCTCAGAATAAATAAACTTAAAAAAAAAGAAAAGCTAAATTTAGGGGCATGATCCCAGAGTAGTGGGATCAAGCCCCATGTCGGGCTCTTCACTAAACGTGGAGCCTACTTAAGATTCGCTGTCTCCTTCTGCCCTTCTCCCCTGCTTATACTCTCTGTCTAAATTATTTTAACAAACACAACTAAATTTAGTTGCATCACTGGTTTAATAACAAAAATTGAAAATCATCTTAATATTCTTGAGCATGATAATGGATAAATTATATTGAATAATATAAATAATTATTATTATGAATGAATAACACCTATCCCAAATCCAATGTTGAATTAACGTTAAATCACATGGGGCACCATGGGGGCTCAGTTGGTTAAGCGTCCAATTTCAGCTTACATTATGATCTCACAGTTTGTGAGTTTGAGCTCCCCATCAGGCAACTCTGCTATTAGCTAGTGCAGAGCCTGCTCTGGATCCTCTCCCTCCCTCTCTCTCTGTCCCTCCCCTGCTCATGCTCTTTCTCTCCCTCAAAAATAAACATTTAAAAAATTTTTTAAAAATTGCAGAAAAATCTATAAATGAAACCCTTAATAAGAAATTTAAAAACTATGTTAAATGTATTTTATAGTGATACACACCTATGTCCTTTATAATTAAAAATGTAGGAATGTGCTTGGAAATGGTGCACATCAAATACAGACTACTTTTGGGAGAAAGGAGGATGCCTTTGTAAAGTGCACACAAGGACATTAAAAATTTATTTGTAGTTTTTTTGTTTCGTAAGCAGGGAAATGGATCCATGAGTATCTATCACTTTTATCTTTCTTTTTATGACAAATTTCTAACATAAGTTTTGGCCACAGGGATTACCTTTTTCTTACTTTTCCCCCTTTTGTTTTGCTTTTACTCCTGTTTAAACATGTTAAGTCATAGGGGCGCCTGGGTGGCTCAGTCGGTTAAGCGTCCGACTTCGGCTCAGGTCACGATCTCGCGGTCCGTGAATTCGAGCCCCGCGTCGGGCTCTGTGCGGACTGCTCAGAGCTTGGAGCCTGTTTCAGATTCTGTGTCTCCCTCTCTCTCTGACCCTCCCCCGTTCATGCTCTGTCTCTCTCTGTCTCAAAAATAAACGTTAAAAAATTTTTTTAAAAAATAAATAAAAAATAAACATGTTAAATCTTGGGGTGCATGGGTGGCTCAGTTGGTTAAACGTCCTACTCTTGATTTCAGCTCAGGTCATGATCTTATGGTCATGGGGTTGAGCCTGGTCGGGCTCTTCACTGACAGCACGGAGCCTGCTTGGGATCCTCTCTCTCTCCCACTCTGCCCCTCCCCGGCTCGTGCTCACTTATGTTGGTGTGTGTGCGCTCTCTCCCTCTCTCGAAATAAACAGATAAATAAAAGATGTTTAAGTCTTAAGTGTACTTTAATCCTTTTGTAATTGTTCTGAGTATAAAGTTTTTAGATATATAAATGACAGTGATTTAGAAACCTTAAATCTGGTTGTGTCTTTTTCCCCCCTAGGGCTTCTGGTACAGTTTTCACTGCTACTGATGTGGCATTGGGACAGGAGGTAGTTTCTTTTTCATACTTTGGGTGTTACAATTAGCTTTTAGTGTAGGAAGAAACTAGACACATCTGTGAATAATCAGTAGGAATCTTTTTTTCAGTTGAATATATTGGAAAAATTACTTTATGTAATTTTGTAGCACTTTTCTTAATAGGGAAAAAAAGAAGGAATTATGCATTGAGTTTCATAAAGGACCAAATATTTTAAAAATTATTTTCCCAGCTTGGAAAGAAAAGAGGATTCATTCCTGGCATTGGTATGACCTTGGGCTGATTAATCAGGTTTAGAGAAAATACAAAAGTAGTTAGGTTCTGTGTATTACAGAGCATTGTGCATTGCCAGTGTGGAAGTAAAAGTACTACCTGTGAGTAAGCTCACTGATAATATAATAGATACACAGTAAATTAAATTATTACCTGATTGGTGTTTGTAATTTTCTAAGAGAATTAGAAAACTTGTTCTGATTTTTCTTGTTTCTCTTTCCATCATAGGTTGCTATTAAACAGATTAATTTACAGAAACAGCCAAAGAAGGAATTAATCATTAATGAAATTCTAGTGATGAAAGAATTGAAGAATCCCAACATAGTTAATTTCTTAGACAGGTAAATATGAGTATTTCAAGTCTCCTGGTGTTGGGGGCTAGCCCCTTGAGTTAAGACTGAGTAGAATGTCAGTGTTGAAAAGTAAGCTTGAAGGAGGAGGAGAGGTAAAAAATAACACATTGTAGTTTAGCAGGCCTTTTTCTACATATATCTCACTTGGCAAGTTAGAGAAAGCAGTTAAATGAAGGACATTGCTGCTGGTGCTTGTATTAATTATAAATGAACACAAGCAGCAACATTAATGGAATGAGTTGTGATTAATGTGTTGACTAACAGGGGTGCCTGACTACATGGTTTCTAAACTTACATCAGTTTTTATTTTAAATGCTGTCTTTCATGGGCAGATAGTGTGTTAAAACCTCATTTAATTTTGGAGTTGATGTTAAATAGCAGAACAGAAAGCAGAATAGAAAATTATATATTGTACCATTATGCAATTACATATATGTGAATGAAAGAAGAATACTAGAAAAATAAACAAAAATTAAAATAGTGATTATATTGGAGATAGAGGATTATAGATGACTTTCTTAGTGCCATATTGAAGTTTGTTTAGACTGGGGAAAAGATAACACATTTTTAGATTTCAGCCCTAGTAATAGGGGACATGTTCATAAAAATCCACTTCTCAGGTATATTTCCCTGCTTTTGGAAATACTGTTTCAAGTCAGTCTAGCATGGCAGGTAAGATAAGCCATAAGGTTTGGAATTAGTTACCCTTGGCTTCAGATTCTAGTTCTGTCACCTACTAGCTCTGTGAACTTAGATGAGTAGCTTCTCCAAGCCTCCATCTCTTCATCTGTAAAACAGGACTAATAATTATTGCCAAACAGTGTCATTTTAATTGGAATGGTCTATGTATACACTCAAGTCACAATTGGGGGCAAACTTTCAAGTCACTCAGGAAAATCATAATGACCCTCAGTGAATTTTCTGTGCTGTTTTCTCAGCTTGCCAGTTTTCTCCCTGGCTCTCAAAACTTCCAACTTTCTAGTTTTGTTATTAGGGTGCCTGGCATTTGAATTCTTCAACACAGAGTGGTGGTGAAATAAAAATGTGAGTGTATTTTGTGTGTTCATAATAATTTTAGCTACCTGATGGGAGATGAATTGTTTGTGGTAATGGAGTACCTTGCTGGGGGATCACTTACTGATGTCGTGACAGAAACCTGCATGGATGAAGCACAGATTGCGGCTGTTTGCAGAGAGGTGAGTGTGTCCCCTTTTGGATAAGTTACAGCAATGTGTGGTTAAGCAGGAGGTAAAAAAAAAAGGGGGGGGGCAGGAACTTTTTGCACAGGTAATTTTTACTATGTGAAATACTCACTCCATGTACATTATTCTTTGCAAGCGGCAAGCGTCTCCATACCATTTTATCCTACATGAGAGTTTAAACCCTTTCTTATGTATAAGATAATTCTGAAATGGAGCACGGTTTTTTGAAGAGCCCAGCTCACAGGTAAATTTCAGCAGGGTGATCATTAAAATTTAGCATCCAAAACAGGGTACTTTTAAGAGTGCAAGGGAGGGCCAGTCAACAGTAGAAACATGGACTGTCTCAGGCAAAGCAAGACACATGTTTACCTTAAGTGTTAAGTTTGCTTCTGGCTTTATAAATTTCATCGAAGGTGAAAAACTGATTGTTTCTTGATATTCATTAATGAATTTTTAGACATACTGTTGCTTCAGCCAATAGAATTCTGCCAAATTGCCCAATAAGTCCAAGCCTTTGGTTGTTTCAGGAGGAAAGGAAATAAGAACTCTTTAATAAGAACTCTATAATATAAATATTATATTTCAATAATATGATATCTCTAACAAAGAATGTTTGATCACTTAAAAGCTAATAAAAACTTAAGAATTTATCTATTTATGGGGCACCTGGATGGCTCGGTTGAACATCTGACTTGTGATTTCAGCTCGGGTCATGATCCTAGGGTAGATTCAAGCCCTGAGTTGGGATTCTGTTTATTCCTCTCTCTCTGACCTTACCCCACTCATACTCTCTCTCTCAAAATAAATAAATAAACTTAAAAAAAAAAGAATTTGCCTATTTATATATAATTTGTTTCTCTAATTTCTTTTCATAATTGTTTTAAAAATTATTTTAGGGGTCCCTCTAATTGGCAACTTAGAGAAAGCAGTTAAATGAAGGACAAATTTGTTTCTATTCATTTGTACCAGTGTTATGGGGAGGATTTGTTCTTTTCAAGAATCTGCTTAAATGCTTGGTAAATGTAATACAGTATTACACAATTTATCTGTTTTTCCTTGAATGAATAGTAGAATATTTTGAATGAGATTTTTAGTTGTTATTCATAATGTACATCCTTTATTTGTTGTTTTCCTCTTTGGGGGGTAAGAAATAAAAACAGCTTTTTCCATGTTTATAATTTATACTCAGTTTATATTCAAAAACATAGGGGCAAGCAGATTTTAAAACTCTAATGTTCCTGTATTTAAGGAAGGAGTAAGTTTTTCCTCACTTCTGACTCCATGCTTTCTGAAACATAGCATAAGAGGAAAGTTATTCTTTTATCATTGGTGTCTAGGTTGTGGATATAGCTTTATGTAAAATCCACTGTAAAAGAAATGGGAGAAAACATCTTACATCACATCAGTGAGCAGCTGGATGGAACTAGACCTCCCAGGATCTTACCTACTTTTCAGTGGCTAGATTAGACTTCTGAAGTCATGCTCAGGCCATAAGTACTGTGTGTGAACTTCCTTTGGACTTTTCAGGGACTGTTTCATTGATACGTGTTTTTCTTGTTTAGTGTTTACAGGCATTGGAGTTTTTACATGCTAATCAAGTGATCCACAGAGACATCAAAAGTGACAATGTGCTTTTGGGGATGGAAGGATCGGTTAAACTTAGTGAGTAACAAAGGAAGAAATAACATTTATTTGTTATACTTCTGCCTTTTGTTTAAGTAAAAAAAACAAAAAACCTATTGGGGCACCTGGGTAGCTCAGGTGGCTGAGTGTCCAACTCTTGATTTTGGCTCCTTCACAATCTCACAGTTCGTGGGTTCAAGCCCCACATTGGGCTCCGTGCTGTTAGTGAGGAGCCTGCTTGGGATTCTCTCTCTCCCTTTCTCTGCCCCTCCCCCACTCACTCACTCACACTCTCTCTCAAAGTAAACTTTAAAAAATTAACCTATTAATATTTTTATGACTTAATATATGGAGGAGGACAAGGGAAAGAATGGTAAAGAATATGAGCTCTCAACTGGACAGCTTGGGTTTAAATAGCAGATAAGCTACTAGTTGCTGACTAATTTGGGGTGAGTTACTTAATCTCTTTGTGTTCATTTTCTCAATTATATGATAAGGAAAATAAGATTAAGTATCTGAGAATTTTTCTGAGGATTAAAAATGTAAGCACTGAAGAAAAGTGCCTGGGACTGTTGTAATGTTGGTGCTGCCTTCCAAAGATAAACTAAAATTTTCTCTGTTGTCTGTTAGGGTAGATCTTTCTTATTAATGCTGTTCAGCTTTCTTTGGATTTGGTAAAGCACGGCCTAATTGAGGGAGGGCTATATGACCCTGACCTGAGAGATGACAAGGGAAAAAAACTCTTATAAACCTCTTTTCCTAATTATCTTCTGTATCAGACATGATAGAGTCATGGAGGAAAAAAATCCTAGACTTCCTTTTCCTCTGTTGGCTATAATCTGTCAGTTTCATCCAGGCCCTCTGGAGGATTCAGGAACAACTTCTATTGAGTTTCCTGCAACTATGCAAAATTCAAGGCATTTCTTGGATCAAGAAATCAAAAAGTTTTCCTTCTGTTCTGCTAGAATATTTGGCTCCTTTTTCAACATCTTTTTTTTTTTTTTTTTTTAATTTTTTTTTTCAACGTTTTTTATTTTTATTTTTGGGACAGAGAGAAACAGAGCGTGAACGGGGGAGGGGCAGAGAGAGAGGGAGACACAGCATCGGAAACAGGCTCCAGGCTCCGAGCCATCAGCCCAGAGCCCGACGCGGGGCTCGAACTCATGGACCGCGAGATCGTGACCTGGCTGAAGTCGGACGCTTAACCGACTGCGCCACCCAGGCGCCCCCAACATCTCTTTTTAAAGATACTTCCTCCAGGGGCGCCTGGGTGGCTCGGTCGGTTGAGCGGCCGACTTCAGCTCAGGTCGTGATCTCACGGTCAGTGAGTTTGAGCCCCGCGTCGGGCTCTGTGCTGACAGCTCAGAGCCTGGAGCCTGTTTCAGATTCTGTGTCTCCCTCTCTCTGACCCTCCCCCGTTCATGCTCTGTCTCTCCCTGTCTCAAAAATAAATAAAACTTAAAAAAAAATTTTTTTTTAAATAAATAAATAAAAAAAAAATAAAGATACTTCCTCCAGAGAGTATTCAACCACAAGAAAGAGGGTTCTGTTAGATGGTCAAAAATATAAGATTACTAATCTTAATCAGCAGGCAAATTACAAATGGACATTCTCCTACTGTTTTGGTGGATACACATGTAAACTGAATTAGACTTTTTTTGGATAATATTTTATCCTGGCTCTTCCACATACTAGATGAATGATCTTGAGCAAGTTACCTAAAAATATGTATGCCTTACCCAATTTGTAAAATGAGAATAATATTAATAAATATGCCTATCTCATAGAGTTATCATAAGGATTAGGTATGTTAATTCTTATAAGATACTTGGAACAGTCCCTGGTTGTTAGAAGTACTCATTTTAGCTATAAATATTACGATTTGATGGAACAATTGCTTTTAGGATTCTTTTCTATAGGTTTACTGAATATAAGCACAACAATAAACACAAAGTTGTTCTCTGCAACACTGTAAAAAAAAAAAACCTTAAATGTCAAGGAGCATAGGAATGATAAAATAAATTATAAGCCTTTTTATTTTGTAATATTGCATATTTACAGTAATGAGGTAGATCAGTGTACAACTATGGAAAAATCTCTCAAAATAAATTTTAAGAAACAATATACTGGAGCACCTGGCTGGTTCAGTTGGTGGGGCCTGTGACTCTTGATCTCAGGTTTGTGAGTTAGAGCCCCACATTGGGGGTAGAGATTACTTTAAAAAAATAATAAAAAGCACTTTACAAAGTATCCTAACTTAGATAAAATAAACCATGCAGTTCATGGTAATTTTTGTACCTATGTAAATTCATAACAAGAAGTCTAAAGCTTAAGAACTTAAATGTTAATAGTTACTTTTTAAATAGAATGGGTCTGTAGAAGGGAGGAGAAAATTCTAGATTCTCATCTTGATATTCCCACTAAATAAACACTGAGTGCTAACCTAGGCTTTCTGCTCCTGTTATAAAATAAGGTGGTTGGAGTGGAGTGATGCTGGCAAGGACTTTGTTAGGTATGGCCGTAGTGAAAGCTGTTCCTTTTCTAGAAGTCTGCTAAGTCAGATATGTAGTAATTCTACCTTCTGTTTATTTTCTTCAAAATTAGTTCCCACCACCTGACCTTTACCTGTTTTATAGAATTTAGTTTTGTTCACCTTTGATACCTTTTCCTTTTAGACCTTTTTCAACTTCTTTAAAATTTTTAGGATAAAAGACCTGATAATTTGTCCTTTGCTTGTGGGAAGTAAAAGTAAACAAGTGAAGAGTATGTAACATCATCAAAATATTTGTAAACCCATTCTGGTTTAGTTGTTGTTTTTTGTTTGTTTGTTTGTTTTAATGTGAGCTCTGTGCCCAATGCGAGGCTTGAACTCACAACCCCAAGATCAAGAGTCATATGCACTACTGACTGAGCCAGCCAGGTGCCCCTGGTTTACTTTTTTTAATACAGTCTTTAAAAAAAAGAACAACAAAAACTGGGGTGCCTGTGTGGCCCAGTCAGTTAAGCAGCCAACTTCAACTCAAGTCATGATCTCACAGTTCGTGGGTTCAAGTCCCATCTGTGCTGACAGCTCAGAGCCTGGAGCCTGCTTCAGATTCTATGTCTCCCTCGTTCTCTGCCCCTCCCCCACTCGCACTCTGTCTCAAAAATAAATAAACATTAAAAAAAAAAAGGCTGAACAGTCCATTGTAATTGTCATCTATCATGACCTCTTAGATGGAACTATCCATGACACCATTAACTCTAGATACGGTTTTTTGTGTTTTTTTTTTTTATAGCTGACTTCGGTTTCTGTGCCCAGATCACCCCTGAGCAGAGCAAGCGAAGTACCATGGTTGGAACGCCATACTGGATGGCACCAGAGGTGGTTACACGGAAAGCTTATGGCCCTAAAGTGGACATATGGTCTCTGGGTATCATGGCTATTGAGATGGTAGAAGGAGAGCCTCCATACCTCAATGAAAATCCCTTGAGGGTAAGACCAGTTAAACACCAGCCTTATTTTTAGGAAAATACATTTCTTTAGAACATTTATTTAGAATCTGATTGTGCCAGTCACTCGCCAAAAATTTAAGATACAAAGTTGATATAACCTGGTCTCTGCCCTCTGTATCTAAAAATTATTTGCTTCTGGGTTATTGAGTTGAATGTGTGAGGTAAAGAGTTTGTAGAGTTTTAGTAAGCTGTATGGTTTTAAAGTTTGCACATAAGAATTTGTTCACTTTTGTACAAGTGTCCCTAGATGTACCCTTCAGATTGTCAACTTTGAACCTTGGCTTCTGTACCAAGTGCACAGGAGAGGAAAGCAAGATTACATCTGTGAGAAAACTGTGTAGATGGTGATGTTAAAGGTCACATTCAAACAAAAGAGTTAGGGTCCTGAGTTAGAGATGGGGTCAGTAGACTTTAAACAATTAGATATTCCAGTAGCTGAGGTGAAGAGTTTTGGAGTTTGTTTTTTCCTTCTTTCCCCCTCTCTGTCTCTCTCTCTCTCAGGTGAAGAGTTTAGGAGTTTGCTTTCTTTCTTTCTTTCTTTCTTTCTTTCTTTCTTTTCTTTCTTTTCTTTCTTTTCTTTCTTTTCTTTCTTTTCTTTCTTTTCTTTCTTTCTTCTTCTACTTGTAAATTACCATATATGGCTCAATATCATTAGTTATTAAAGAAATGCAAATCGGGGTGCCTGGGTGGCGCAGTCGGTTAAGCGTCCGACTTCAGCCAGGTCACGATCTCGCGGTCCGTGAGTTCGAGCCCCGCATCAGGCTCTGGGCTGATGGCTTGGAGCCTGGAGCCTGGAGCCTGTTTCCGATTCTGTGTCTCCCTCTCTCTCTGCCCCTCCCCCGTTCATGCTCTGTCTCTCTCTGTCCCAAAAATAAATAAAAAACGTTGAAAAAAAAAATTAAAAAAGAAAGAAAGAAAGAAAGAAAGAAAGAAAGAAAGAAAGAAAGAAA